GTTGCATGACTGTGTTTACGTTATGAGATCCGTTGATCTGTCTGCTTATTATTTGTGCATCTTTCTGCATGTGTGTTATACTTTAATGAAACTGTCTTCAATGAAATTTTATTTAAAAATGGGAAAAAGAAAGAATGAAGAGGGGCTTGTGGGTTCTCAGGGGGCTAGTTATTCATAAGCCTTAAATCTCTTATGAATTAAAACCTACTAAGAAATAAGACACAGGAGCTGTAGAGATTGAGTTTTAAAGCCAACGAGAGATTTTGTTAACCTGTTGTTTGTTGTCTGAGAGGTAAATTTATATTGGAGAGTTCAGTTTGAATTTACGGCCCCAGTTGGGCTTCTTGTCAGCCTCTCTCCAAAGCCAGCCCTTGGACTGACTCACACGGAGGAGGATTGGGGTCTGCAGAGCAGGAAAACTCAGACTGTTGGCTGCATCAGCACTGGGTACCCTGCCTGGCAGAGGGAGAAGGGTGACCTGACCCACACTTGACCCTAGTGTGCTTGCTGCAGGGTGGGAAGCTGAGGTCAGCCACGGTGGCCTGTTCCCCTCTCAGTCTCACCAGTCAGAGATGTCTCTGGGACAAATGAGTGAATTTGGATGAGAAAAAAAGGTCAGGAGAGGTTCTTCCAGGCAAAGGCAGCAACATTTCCAAAGGTTGTCCTAGAGACTCATGCATCTGAAGCAAGGTGGACCGAGGGCAGGTCAAAGAAATCTCTTCCTAATTTCATTTCTGCCAAGCGTGTGTACCATGTGTCTAAGACCAGAGCCTCCAGCCCTATACTGGTTTAGAAAAAAATCTCCTAGTGGGATAATGGTAGATTAGATTCAGGGTCCCAGACCTTCACCCTTTCTCTATAAGTGATCATACAGCCAGAACTTGTTTCATGTGATTCTTTGGTGCCTCCCAGTGGAATACGTGGAGGACAATCTACTTGGGTTGATTTAGAGGTTTGTCATGTGACTTGTTTTCCTGGCCCCTGGAAAGTTAGCAAACAAGACACTAACAGAGTCCTTACATGCACCCATGTGGTTTAGCTTCGCTTCTTGCATTTCTGCCGTAAAAGCAACATGCCCTGATAGTTGTTGTTTTGAGAAGAATGAGGCTAATGCCCACAGCCTAGAGCCATGCACAGCCAATCCCAGCTGAGCCCAGCAGAGTCACAACCTGCACATGACTCTGGGAATGAGAAATAAAGCCTGAGGTTCTTGGGTCTGTTTGTTACACAGCATTTTTGCAACAATAGCTGCCTGATGCAAAGAAAAAATGCCAAACACAGGTGTTTCCTCTATCAAAGAGTGACATCTGAAATACACCTATTATCTTGCAAAACTTAGGAAGTTATAATGACACCCTAGTCACCAGGTCTTAGATTTGGGTTCCTTTTTGCACATTTTGAATATATAAAGACTTGTAATGTTCAATTCTCTTTGAGCCTCGTGCCTTGGCACCTAGCTGCTAGTTGAGGGTGGGCTGGTTGGCAATGCCACCTGGAGTCATGCTGCAGCTACCACTCCGACTTGCCCCCCTGCCAATGAGATAGAACAGCTGGAGGTTATTTTACTTTCCTTCTCAGCATCTATTTTGACAGGAAACTCTCCCTTAGCAGATTTCTGAACAGTAGCTGGTGTTGATGATTGCAAGGTGCCCAGAAGCCTGGTGGGACCAAGGCTTGTGCCATCTGCTCTCCCCCAAGCTTGCCTGTGCTCAGCATGGACCCTGAAGACCTGGAGGCCCAGTGCAGGGGTGGGCTGGGCCTGGAGTTGACTCCTCTGGTTCCAGGGTCATCCTGAAACTTCTCTAGCTGCTGCCCTAGGTCTCATGGTGCCCGTGTCACCCCTAACCCACATGTACATCTCAGGAAAGGATAATTTTGGTCTTTAGATTTTCCTGAATGTCATTCAACTGTATTCCTCCATTTCCCTCTCCAAAATGCCTCTTCACACAGCTCCATTTGTTTGTTAATAAAATCTATGTCCCATGGGGAAAGCTGTGCTCCCATTTCCAAAATCCAGATCATAAAGATACATTTCTGGATTTCAGAGAAAGTGGGGAAAGCCACATAATGACTGGATAAGTCCCCCTTCACTTTAGATGAAGGTCAGACAAGATGAACAGGAAAATACCAAAATATCTCCTAGTATAGATACTGCCCTGGCTACATAACCAGGGAAAGCTAACAAAAGCATCTGCTCGCCTGCCTGCTCTACCTGGCTGGGCCACAGAGACCCTCTTTCTGGTTTTCTAGTCCCTGCTGTGACCCAGGTCGACCTGGAGAAGTCAAACCCAGGTGAGACCTGGGCAAGAGCCTCACTTGGGTCCTCCCCTGTCACTAATGAGCCCCAGCAACATCCCTCTGATGCCGCCAAAGTCAAGGGACTGTGCTTCCTAAAGCAGTAAGGCTGAAAGCCACTGCCCTGCCCCAGCCCCAGCCCCAGGCTTTTCTCTCTACATGTTAACTCTGACTCCCAAATTTCAGCCACTTCTTCAATTCGGTTCACAGTCAAATCCTAAACCAGTTGGCAGGCAGACACAGGATTTAGACATACAGACACAGTAAATAAGTCTTTCTACCACAAAAACTGGCTAGGAGACCTGAACTGACACTTGGGGTCACAGACTGGTTTCCAAACCCCTTGGCCTTTGTCAGAAGCTCAGGACAGTGGCACCAGGTAGTGCTGGGGTTGGCTGAGCAAACTCACTTAGCCAGGGCTTCCAGAAGGCATGGTGGGGCCCAAGCCCACTGTGCTGAGCCCATGGAAGCAGGGATACAGATGAAGACCCCCTTCCTTCTTTACAGATATGAGAGGGAAACAAGAGCACCCCAGGAGCAGCGTGGCCCACGCAGGCTCCCTCCTCCTCTCGATCTCACCCTGCATAGAGGTGTGTGACTGCTGTGTAGAGAGAAATGAGCAGGCCTCTCACCTCTGTGGGAACTTGAGGACTAGGAATTGACCCATGGCAGGTGAGTTTACACACATTTCATACAGTATTTCCATACAGTACACACGGGGAGTGAAAAGGGCCTTTCGCCTTAAATTCTTGTCCTTCCTGGAACCTCAGAATGTGGCTTTCTTTGAAAATAGCATCATGGCTTATTGTAATTGGTTCAGATGAGACCATTCTGCAGTAGGGTGAGCTCTGGTCCAATGTGACTGGTGCCCTTGCAAGAGGAGGAGAGATACTAGAGGAGCACGGGGTGGACACCATGCCTGGTGGAGGCAGAGGTGGGAGTGACAGACTCATCTCTTAGTCAAGGAACACCTAGGACTCCCAGCAGCTCCAGAAGCCAGGATAGTGGAGCATGTTCTTCCCTGGAACCCCCAGAGGGAGCGTGGCCCTGCCAGCCTCTCTATTTCAGGCTCCTGGTAGCTCCATCTGCGAGACAATCAATGTGTTGTTTTAAACCATCCAGTTTCTGGTGTTTTGTTACAGCAGCCCTGGGAAATGAAGACACCTCAACAGCTCAGTTCTTTCAGCCCAGCTAGCTGGAGTCGAGTGCATGCCCACTCAGGAAGACATTGCAAAAGAAAGAGGAGATGCAGGAGGAGGAGGAGAAGGAGGAGGAGAGAAGGTGTGACTTGCCTAACCAGTTACTCCTAAGTGCCCTCCTGGTCTCTAAAAGCAAAACATGCTGCTCTGGGAGACAGAATAGAGAGGCTCCAGAAACTTGTGCATGTAGAGATATGAATGGTGTTAAGCATACATTTTTTTTGGTGCCACAAAGAAAAATTAGTACTGGGAAAAATGATCTCTCGGCAAAGCAATTCTTTTTACTTTCTGCAGAAAGGGTACCCTTGTTAGCAATCTTGCCATGAGAGGACAACAAAGGAAAGTGGACATATTTATCCCTTAAGCATTTGGGGTCTTCCTTAATGCTGTGTCTGATTTCAGTTGGTTGGAGCCAGACCCCACAATCTAAACTAAAACCCGATTGGCTAAAAACTTAAAACTTTTTTAAATAGGTAAGAGCAATGGAGAACAAAAAGGAAGTCCAAATAAAAAAGAGGCATGGGCTGCGAGCTGGGACATGCCTGTGAGCACGTCCAGCACAGATATCTTGGTTAAAGTACAAGGACATAGAATGTACTACGTGCCTGTAAGCACGTCTAACAGCTACGTAGGATAGGGCTTAACAAAGAGCTACTAGTAAAAAGCAAGAAGGCTTTGAAGAAAGTGTTTAAAACAAACTATTATTTCTAACACTTATGAATTTTTCTAAAACAAGAAAGGAAACTTTGAAGAGGAACTTTTCTACTTCCCACAAACTGTGTGACAGAAGATTCATCGTTGTCCTTGGCTGGACAATGGGGCACTGCTGTCACTTGCTGGCTTGAAGAGGTTTGCCTATCAGCTGTCCCCTGAGAGTCCCAGACTCCCCGTCTACAGGATGAAGGCAGTAAGAGCTCACAGTGGAAGCTGATTGCAGGAGTTAACTGAGATGCTCAGGTCATGCACCCTGCAGGGTTCTGCACACAGAAGCGTGCAGTTCACAGAAGATGATTGCAGAGCTACCACTGGGTACGAAGTGAGGTGCTGGGGAAACAGCAGACACGACACACAACTTATGTCAGAGAAACTTATGCATAAGGACATGCCATTCCATAAAAATGGCATTTTGAATCAATAAAGAAGGAAGGGATTGTTCAGCCTTTGGGGGGAGGTTAGCTGGTGATTTGGAATTTTAAAACTATCTATGCCAAATTTTAATCTTGATGCTAAAATAAATTCTAGAACTATTCAAAAATTAAGTATAAAATTTCAAACCAAATAAACTATTCAAAACCTAAATATAAAAATCCAAACCAAATAAGCTTATTTGTTGATATTGCAATGTCAAGAAAGAAACAAAAATAGACAAGTTTGACTGCATTAAATCTGTGTAAAAACAGAAGAAAAAATTATACTTTGAGGAAAATATCTTAGAAATTATTTACATGCAAGCAACTAGTAATTACATAAGAGTCTCAGATAAATCAATTAAATAAACCAAAATACCTGTAGGTGTGTCGGCACCATACTAGCCAGGAAGACTTTTGTGGTGACCGTGGAAATGGCCTCTCAGATCTTCAGCCGCGGGGACAATCCTTGACTGAGGGCTCTCGGTCGCCAAATTTGTTGGTCACCAAATCTGTCACCAAGTCTATCACTGGTTTGCAGTGAGGCCACACTTGCTGCAGGCTGTTCCCAGGCAGAGACAGAGGGCGGCAGGGATACTAGGAGACAGGGAGTTCTGTCTTCTAAAACAGAAATCAAGTCTGTAAGAGTTAAAGCTCCTTTTACTCGGAAGTCTTCCTGAGGACTGCGGCCAAAGGAAGTCCACTCTCCCGGGCGGCGTCTTTCAGAGTTGTTCTCTAAGCCACCGCCAAAGCATCATTTTAGCTCACAGTTGATGTACGAGTGGTAAAGGTTCAGTCTGTACAAAATCACATCAAGGTTTGGGTGCAAGAGAACAAACACTTGGTCATAGTCTCCAGAGGCACAATGACAAAGCCATCAGACGTTATCTTACGTGCAGGAAAAGGCAGGACTGCGGTCATTCCACTTTTAAGGAAGAGGGTGACCCGGGTGAGAGACCTGAGGGGGAGCTGGGTGCCCTATCCTGTTTTGTCTTCAAAGCATCTTTCCAGAAAACGGCACGTCGTCCCAGAGTCAGGGGCTGTGTGAAGTGATGCTGGCAAGCAGAAATGAGCAAAGGTGGCTTCTTATGTTTGCTGCTTTGTCTCACTGGAGGCAGGCCATTCCTGGGGGGTGTGGGACTCTTCTGATTGACATTAGTCCAGGACTTCCCCACAGCCTCGCTGGACCCCACCAGACTGCACTGCAGCCAAGGGAGGTGTTTTTCCAGCCCTCCTCCTTCTCTCCCTCCCTGCCTCCTTCACACGGGTCATACCTTCATTACCTTCCAGCAGCCCCCCAGTCTTCCCAGCACCCTCCTACATCTTCATGGGAGAGCCTTGGTGAATCTCTTGCAGGGCCGAACCCAGCTTGGCATCTGACACAGGCTCACAGATTTTTAACAAACTGCTACTGGTTTAACAACATTAAGAAAAAAAGTATTCAATCCCTGTAGTATTTAAAGATCCGATTACAGTTGCAATCAATATCGTGGTGAATGGTTAGCTGCTTTTCTTTAAACTAGACTACCCCTGGCCGGACTTTTTCAAAGAGCTAAACGTGCTCCTATGCTGCTGGGTGAAACACAAAATCACTCAGATGTTGTAAGCAAAAGTTAGCACTGTGTACCAAGAACCTTCAAAATCATCCCATTTTTCACCCTGGCATTTCATATTGTGAAAACTCTTCTAAGCCATATGAATAAATACTTACAAATAGGCATTAAAAATGGGCTTTCATTGGTAGTGGAGAAAATAAGCAGTCATTTAACTTAATATTGGTAACAGAGTGGAAAGGGTTCTGACATGATGGGACAGGTCTGCAGGCTGCTACATGAACCGCCTTTCAAGGAACACAGAACTTTCATAGAACACGGAACTCACTCCTCTATCCGAATGTAGGTTTGTGCCCATTAACCACTCTCTCCTCCCCCACCCTTCGCCCCACCACCGCCCCCAGTCTCTGGGAACCATCGCTCTACTGTCTACGTCCATGAGATGCATTGTTTTAGTTTCCACATATGACAAAGAATACATTATATACATGCAACAAATTAACATACATATCCCATAAAGATGTACAAATATTATGTATCAATTTTTTAAAAGATTCAGTGAGCTCCCTTTTTTTTTAAAAAAAAGAGTCTGCTCAAGAGGCAGTGAGCTGGCAGCTTACGGGTTTTAGCAACTTCTGGTCAACCCCAGCTTTGGGGCTGAGGCCAGGCTCACCCAGGCACTGGGGCCTGGGCCTACCCACCCAATGTGAAGTCCTCCTCACCAGCAGCCTTTACTCAGGAGGGCCCTCCGTCTTCATCAGATCTGCAGTGTTCGTGCGGTCATGTGGTCAGGGGTCTGCCCCTGCCCAGTGCTGCCTCCTCGCTCCTTTCTTTCTCGGATGTCAGGTCTCCATCACAGCAGAAAGCCTCTTCCTATTCAAACTTGTTTCCTCTCTCTTTGTCTTCCACAGGACAGTTCTAGTGGGTAACCAGTTGGAGAACTCCCCCTTGGCTTGGCCAGACCTCTCTCAGGACTGGGCTGCAGTCTGCGACAATTTCCACCTGCTCCTCTTTCCTTCTCTCTTCTTCACTGCACTGGTCTAAGGTGCTCCCTCTACTTCTGGTTCCCATTCCTTGATTCCCCCAATCTCAGCCAAAAGTCTCAGGCTGCCTGGGCATCAGCCTCTAGCGGACCCAGGCTAACATGCCAAACTTCCGAAGACTCGACCCTGAGGCTGTTGTCTCCCTGCCCTGCAAGTCAGGGCTCTTCCAGTCTCAACATTCTGGTTTTCAAAGGCGCACTTTGCTGACCGGGAAACCTCAAGATTCCCGCAGAGCACCGGGGACCCCTTCCATCCAAGAATCATTGGGTAAAAGAGGACTTACTGTCTTGGTAGAGGTCATTGGCTCTGGTCTTCAGAAGGGTCAAGACTGCTTTCAACACAGTAGGGCCAGGAGGAACCCACAAGGAACTCCGGTGATGCACTTGTGTGAACTTCTTAGTGTTCTCTTGACCCATTGTGATGACGGGTGGAGGTAGCAGCCCCCACCTGAGAAGGGATGCGATCCAGAACTCTTCCTCCTGGGATGGGGTCTGGGTCACATCACCAGGTAAGCCCCCCAGATCTACCAAGTGGATGGTGCAGGGTGAGGGGAATTTACAACAGATAGTGGAGGAGGGTGAAAAGGAGTACCACTGGCACCCTCCTTAGAAGCCCACTGGGGCCCTGCTGGTGCAGCTGCAGCACATGTGTGGAGAAGCACAGGCTCAGGGAGCAAGGGATGGGCTGCAGCATCCACGAGAAAGCACAGCAAACATCTTGCAAGAGAGAACTAGCCAGTCAGCTGCAGGGGTACAGTGGGCTCCAGCCAGTTCACCTCCAGCCTCCCCCCCCCACTCCTTCCAGGCTGTCCCCAGACACTGACTGAGCACAGCCAGACACTGGAGGCTGGCAGTTTCTATCCAGTGTGGGAACTGCTCCCTGTGTGGTTGACTGAGACCTTGGCAGAGATGCATTGCATCTGAAGGTGCTCCCTGTCCAATCCACCTCCCTCTCATCTTTCACAGAGGCCAATTCCCAGCAATCCTCTGGTGGTCCTAACTCCATCTCAGCATCTGCCTCTTGGAGGACCCAACTGGGGCGTTAAGCACAATCAATGAAGGGATGAATAAAGAGAGTTTCTTAAAACACCAAGTGTGAGGATGGCCCTTCTGGAAACATCAACTCCAACAAATGGAATCGAAGTTTCAAAGAAAGAAAGTTAAGGTTTCACTTACACAGGCAGTCAGAGGAGGGTTTTTGAGCAGGATTACATTTTTCATACAAAGTTGGTGTATGTTAATAGTTACCACAGTTTGATTGGTTATGGGCAGTGGTGCTTTTCGGGAAGGGGACATTTAACATTTTTCACGGAGGAAATGTTAGGCATGGGCTTTCTGTTATCTGGTCTAAGCAAAGCAGGGAAACAAAGGGGGAAGTTAATCTATCACGAGGCTCGTTAATTAAGGAGGCAGGAGTTTTTCATCCTTGAAGTCGTTCAGCTCTCTCTAGTCATTGTACAGAAAGAGAAAAATAAAAATGCAAGGGAATCTATAATCTGAAAAACAGACGCGATAACCATCTGTGGCTCAGATCACAGTTACCACATCTCTCTCAAGGCTGGAGGTGTTTGAGGGGTTTCAACAGCTTTTAAATTGTATTTATTTTCAAATGTATGAAGCACGTATTATTCTTCCCATTTTACAGACTGGAAAGCTAAGCCCCAGGAAGGTCAAAGAGCTCATCCAGCGTCACCGAGCCGGAAAGTAGGCGAGATTTGGATCAGGTGTACCTGACTTCTGACCTAAGTTTCTTATCACCGTGTTTCCCAAATGTCCACCCACACACCACCTCCGCCACCATGTGGCAACACCTGCCCACACCCGCCCACGTCTGCCTACTGTGAGTCTTTAGTTCAGGGTCAGACACCTCTTTCTGGAAAGGGCTGTGTTGTAAGTATTTGACGGCACTGACTACACTGATCTCTGTAATCTATTTACCTCTTTTCTAATCTTTTAAAAAGAAAAAAACATTCTCAGCTTATGAGTTATACAAAAACAGGCTGTGGTCCGCTTTGGCCTGAGCCACAGCTCGCCGACCCCTGATTTCGCTTATTTTTTTCTATATACAGACTTTGTAAATGAATTTTACCTGTTTCTTTTCTTTCTTAGTTAGCTTTATTCTAAGCAGTAGTATCTGTGAAGTCCCAGGTTGGGTATGCATGCCAGTTATACGTGTTTTTAATACACACTTCAATAAATACATGCCACTTCTTATGGAAATATTGGTTCTATATCCCCATGCTTCGGACAGCAGCACATTCGACTGCCCTGCCATCTACCTGATTTGAGTGGGCATCCACAGGGTAGGTAGAGGCTGAGGAAAAAGGCTTTTTTAAAATTTTATTTTTATCAGGCAGAGTCTTGTGATTGATGTATAGCTTGGTTGGAAATGCAAACCTTCAGAGAGGCTGACAGCCGTCTGCCTGACCGGTGTGTGGTTGTTTCATACCAGGTAGAGTCAACTTCTGAACGATGACTGGTGGATTGACCATCAAACGTCCCGGCACTAACTGGTCACCATTGTCCTAGAGCCAAGGCAATCAAAACACAGCATTGATTCCTTCCTTCAGTCACCAAGCATCTACCAGAGCTTACCATGTCCTACTCACTTGCTAAATGCTGGGGATACGATGATAGCAGGTGCAGTCGTGGCCTCTGCCTGGAGAAGCCAGTGGTCCTTTGGGAGACAAACAGTAATTGCTAACCTGTGAGTAATGCACAATGGCAATAGTTCACAACCCAGTGGGACAGGCACGGATTCACATGCAAGCACGAGGTGGGGTTTGATTTAGGGAAGGAGGGGAACTTTCTTTGAGAGGTGATAGCTGTCCTGAGATTTGGCAGGTGAGCAAGACTCACGTGAGGAAAGAGGGAGAAAAGGGGGTCTGGGTAGGAGGAGTAGACTATGCAAAGGCCCTGTGGTGAGAAAGCAGTGGGCAGGGGCAGAGAGTGCAACAGAGCAGTGGGATGGAGCCAGGGAGGCCAATGGGTCGAACTGTGCAGGGCCAGAGGCCATGTCTAAGGCACATGTCTTTAGCCTGCAGTTGGCATGCTGTACAGTGCTTCAGGCGGACAGCTCCCGGGAGGACAGCTGCATTTCCCAAACATCCCTCCCATGGCAAGGGGAGACTCCTTTGAGTTAAGCCGGAGGGAGTGCAGGTGGAGGAGATGGTGAAACACTGCAACTGTCCCCACAAGACTTCATGGAAGGCTGGAAAGGGCTGCGAAAGGGGTGGTGGATGGAGGTGAACTTGATAGACACTGGGAAGTTGGAAGATTGGTAGCACTAGATGAGAGGCAGGCATCTGGTTCCAGAGAGAAAGTAAGGGTCACTGGTGACCCCCAGGTGTCTACTGGGGCATTCACTGAGAGGGAGAACAATTGGAAAAAATGTTTTAATGCAACTTTAAGCTTTTCTGATAGAGAGCTAAGCATCAGACGTCTCAGCTTTCCTTCCTTGCTTTCCCTGTCTTGCTCCAGCCGTGGCTCTAACTTTGACCTCAGATGAGAACTTCATCAGGGCTCAGATCCCAGCTCTGCCCCTGAAAGCCCTGCCCTTCCAGACCATGCATGCTGCCCAGATGAGGTTTTCCTAACCTGCCTATGATCTCTGCTGAGGTCCAGGTGCAGTCTGGTCTCTGGTGCTCAACTCTGCACCCAAATACACAGGCACGGAGCTTTTAGATACCACTTCAGAGACTTGGATTCACATTTACCAAGCTCCTCAACTAGAATTTCAATATAAAGAAGGGTCAATTTGGCATATTGCGGACGTCTTTAGGAAAGAAGGCATGCTAGATGTTGTGGATGCAAACAGGTATTAATTAGATGAGTTCCACCTTCAGTAACTGACTTATCCCTTGGCAGAGGTCCTCAGTAATCAAACAGCAGCAGAGGAATGGAAGGAGTAGGCATGTAAGTGTTACCATCAGTACCAACACAGTGCACACACCCACACATGTACAACACACACAGGCACACACACGCATGTTCTTTATAGTAGCCTATGTCATAATCAGACAGAGCATATCCTATTGTCAAGGATGATTGCCTGAGCCCAGACGACAATGCTTTTGTTCCTGATGACTGCTGTCTGTGCGTGTGGTTCTGTTCCCATGATGAAACAATGGCCCAGAATGATAATGACACAATGCCGGAGTGTTTCTAATATTATCTAACTGTCTAGGGGGTCTTTGCTTTGTACACATGAGATGAAGCACAGGAACACAGTAATAGAACTTTAACTTCTATGTTGAGGGATGCGACATTGGGTGCCTGTGTCTTACTGGCACCCTGTGAAGGTAGGTGCATTGTCTTGTGTGGTTCTTACCCCTCGTTGGGCCACTAGAAAAGCATTTGGCTTCATGGAAAAAGTGTGAGCTGTAGGGTCGGTACACCGAGTAAAGCTCCACTCCCCGTGGCCTAGTGGCCTTGCCCAAGATCCCCCTGCTCTTGGAGTCTGACAGTGTCTCCGTCTGTCAAATGGGCTCATGCCACACGTCTTATAGTTTGTTGAATTAGAAATTCACCTGGGTGCAGAGGCTCCTCCGCTTCTGGTGGTCTCATTGTGATTGATTGGTTTGGGAATTAGAGACAATCTTGGAAAAAGAAAAGAAACTGAAAAGAGCTTGTGTGTGTCTGCACACCTGCACGTGTGTATGTGTAATGTGTCTTCATGAGTGTTGTATTGGAGATATATTATAGTAAAGTATCAAGAATGGCAAGTTCAGCTGGGTGTGGTGGCTCACGCCTGTAATCCCAGCACTTTGCGGGGCCAAGGCAGGTGGGTCACCTGAGGTCAGGAGTTTGAGACCAGCCTTGCCAACATGGTGAGACCCTATCTCTACTAAAAATACAAAAATTAGCTGGGTGTGGTGTTGGGTGCCTATAATCCCAGCTGCTCAGGAGGCGGAGGCAGGAGAATTGCTTGAACCCAGGAGGTGGAAGTTGCAGTGAGCCAAGATCATGCCACTTTACTCTAGCCTGGGCAACAGAGCAAGACTCCATCTCAGAAAAAAAAAAAAAAAAGAGTGGAAACTTAGCCAGGAATGGCTACTTGCCCCTGGAATGAGTGTTTAAGAGTAAGTACAAATATCTTGGTATAAAGTGGCTCTGCTGGTTTTAGTAACATTTTAAAGGGGTGGGGGGAGGATGAGCTGAGTTGTAGATGATTCTCCCCTGCTCTCTTTAGAAGGTGCTGTTTCCCTAAAGGACCATGCTGGGCTTGCCCAGCCTGTGAGCAGCGGTCAATTGTCCTGTCCTTGGAGCACATTTCTCCTTCCCTTCTGTACATTTCTACTAGCTCCTTGGAGAACAACCAGAAGAAGTCAACAGTCCCACGTGCCTGGAAACCACATTATACAATCCATGCTTCTCTTTCATCATCGATTGAAATACAGAAGAAGATGGCCAAGTGGCATCTTGAAAGTGAACAAATCTAGAACAAATTGCAATGGAGGAGCAAATTCTTAATTACAGAGAACAATTTCCACCTTAACAGACTGGACTTTTGTCGATCAAATTGCATGGAGCAGCTGTGAAATGAAAGAACCAGCAGAACGAGCACAGCTGTGTCTAATCCACTGGATTAAGGCTGAGAAGAGATCATGTTTATACAATAGTCTTGCCCGCATGGGCTGCTTGCATCTCAGTGTGCAGGGTCTGTCAGCTGGTGCCTGCTGCCAAGTTCCACCCACGACCCAGCTCCCACGGAGGCTGGGCAGGGCAGTGGCAATCTCTGCCTGGATGGAGTCATAACACATCCCAGCCAGAGCACTGGAGCCGGGTGGGGTGGAGATGCACCACCCAGACAGCAAAGGGGCCCCGGGAGCCTGCCTATTCTCTATTTTCCATAAGGACTAACCAAGAATGCAGATATTCTCATGGAGCTGACACGAGCCTCAGGGGAATAAGAATTCTTGCTTCGTTTTTCAAACAGCTTTATTGAGATATAATTCATGTGCCTACAATTCACCTGTTTAAAGAATACCATTCAATGGCTTCGATTGTTGCAGTATTAATTTTGGAAAATTGTGGTTTTTCAAATAGAGACACACATACATAAGTGTATGTGGGAGGCAGTTTTACACAGGGTGGTCGGGAAGGGGTGACATTTGAGCACAAGAGCGGGAAGGAGGGAATGGGCTGCTCAGTGCTCCCTGAGGGAGAGGGCACGGGAGACTGATGCGGGAGCCAACTTGGGACAGAGTGGCCCAACTGGCCAAAGCAAGGAAGCAGAGCCGGGGGCGGGGGTGGTGGGGGGTGGGGAAGGTGAGGAGGAGGCAGAGGCGGGGCCTGGAGGCAGAGGCGGGGCCTGAGAGGCAGGATTTGGTTCTATTTTACGTGTGATGGCAAATAGCGATTGTTGGGGTGGGGAAGGTGAGGAGGAGGCAGAGGCGGGGCCTGGAGGCAGAGGCGGGGCCTGAGAGGCAGGATTTGGTTCTATTCTACGTGTGATGGCAAATAGCGATTGTTGGATTTGTGAAGCAAAGTGGTGCCCATGGGGAGCCCCCTCTAGGGCTGAGTGGAGAAGCAGCTGCAGCCAGCAGTGCAGGCTCCTGCATTAGGCTCAACGGGGAGACTGGGAGAGGCGCAGCTGGGAGGGAGGTCAAACTCTCCAGGAGAGGAGAGAACGAGAGAAAAATGACAGAAGGAAGAAAATGAGTAGAAGCTGGGAAGAGAAGAGATGTCAAATTCTCCAGGAAAATGAGACAAAAAGGAGAAAAAGGCAAAAGGAAAAACGAGCAAAAACTGGGAGCCACACCTCCCCGTCAAACAAGGGTGGAGTTTCCTCATGATGACCTCTGACTATCCTTATAGATGAGATGCTTCTAATTGGAGGAAAATACAGGTAGAGCATGCTTGATCTGAAAATCCGAAGTACAAAATCCAAAACTGTGAGCACCAACATAATCCACAGAAGAAAATTTCACACGTGACCGTGTGACAGGTCACAGTCAAAATGAAGTCAAATGCACCAAATGATTAAAATGTGCTATAAAATTACCTCTAGGCTGTGTTTAAGGTGTACATGAAACATAAGTGGATTTCCTCTTTAGATTTGAGTCCCATCCCCAAGATATCACATTACATATATGCAAATATTCCAAAATCTGAAAACGTTTGAAATCAGAAACATGCTGGTCTCAAGTACTTCAGATAAGAGACACTCAGCCTGTACAGCATCAAGCTGCACTCTGTTTATTCAGAGTTAAGATTCTCTTCTGCTGTCCTTTATATCTCACTGTAGATCACTCAGTCTGTGGAGTGGAGTCTAGGAGAGAATTGTCCCCAACCCCAAACGCACGGCTTGCCCCCAGGCTTTCCAGGCAGAACTCAAGGCGGGGTTTACACTCTAGTTCCCAGCTCACAGGTATGAAGGATTCATCATTAGCCTGCATTTTCCTACAGTATGCTCAGAGCTCTCCAGAGACTTGGAGATAAAAAAAATATCCCGGAAAAGAAGAGTTCTTCATGGGGTATCACGTTATAACTGAAGCCACAACCAACTCTGTGTGCAGGTGACCTGCCACCTCTGGTGAGTCTGTGGCAGACCCTAGAAGCAAAGCCTGTGACACTCGGGCAGCAATGTGGCTCCCACTGTCTCCTGTGCTTCTCTTCTTAAGAAAACACCGGTGGTCTAACTTCAGATCTGTGTTAGTCAGTTCTTGCACTGCTGTAAATACCTGAGACTGAGTAATTCACAAAGAAAAGAGATTATATTGGCTCGCAGTTCTGCAGGCTGTACAGAAAGCATAGCAGCTGCTGCCTCTGGGAAGTCTTCAGGAAACTACCAGTCCTGGTGGAAGGCGAAGAGTAAACAGGCACAGCTCACAAGGATGTGCCTCATGAGGATGTGTACACATCCTTTTTCGAAAGAGAGAGAAAGAAGGATGAGCTCATTGCTTGGGATGTTGGCACCTTATTTCGGTCTTCATTTCTGGGTCTAATTATCTACAGAGACTTAGACGGCCAATTAGTTGATTAAATGAATTTGCATCCAGAGCTTAGCGCCCATCTCTGTAGTCTCAGCTGCCAGGACTGGTAAACAGAGAAATTTGTTATAAACTATTCATGCTAATCCAGAACTTGGGATTTTTTAAGGCTAACTTAGGATGTTTCACTCTGAAAATGTTCAGCCACACCTTGCTGCTCCTCGGTGAGAATTTTGACCATTGCTGCCTCCCCAAGGCAAAGTCATTCTCCCAAGGTGGGGCTGCGCTTTTGGACAGAGGAGTTGGGGGCGGCAAACCATGCAAGTCTCCAAGCCTGCTTCCCCAAGTGGCCAGCACCTGGTGCTGCGGTCCCTGCATCCTGGCAGCTACTAGTTGGGCATCCCCTCACCTTCCTGGTGACAGGTGCCTGCTGACAAGCCAGCACTTCCACAGTACCATTCACTCAGTTGTATCTGCCTGGACAGCTACATCAAAGTGGGCCTGACAGAGGTAGCAGGTGTGCCTCAGAGCAGAAAGCTTGCACCCAAAGGTACAGCGTGCATCCGGCTTTATCCCTGCTGGCTGTGAAATCCTGGCTGGAGGCAGCTTGCTCTAATGAAGCCCCACACAATTCTTTGAGCATCGTGAGGCTCAGCAGGGATGTGTGGGCCAACATGAATAGCTCAGTTAAATTAAAATATTGGACCACGGCAAGGCCCACATGTGGTGCTCTGACCCCACAGAAAGCAGCACGCTGGGAACCCTCAGACAGGGCTGTCAGAACTCACTCACATACATCATTCTTCAGAATAAAACCCTGTTGTCTTCTGATGGGTAAGCTCCTTACGTATGGATTAAGTTTTAGTTATGAATTAATTTTGGCTTTTAAAGGGTTTTTTTAAAGGGTTACTTGAAACATCAATGAAATATTTTTCAAAACCCTTTGTGAGCCTGCTTAGCAATGCCTATTACAGCGGTGATAATAAAAAGCCTCTTCTTATTAAAGATGCACAGGAAAGAATGACATATTTTAATGATCCATGGGAACATTTTCCATGCAGCTGCATCGCTGTCTGTCCTCTGTGCTTTGATTCACAGGTTTAGGCGAGAGCATCATGAAAACCATGCGGTGGCACAGGGGTAAGAGGGAGAGAAAGAGGAAGAAGAGGAGGAGGAGGAAGAAGGAGGAGGAGGAAGAGAAGGTGGAGAAGAAGAGGAGGTGAAGACGGAGATTCACTTCATTTTTTGGCTCTCCCTACCCTAAACATGAGTCAGACCTAGAGGCAAGGGGTAGGGAACCCATTGACATCTGAGTTGATGGTAAGAGGGTTGCTGCCACTCTGGGAGCCTTTCACAGATGTGTATGAAATCCACATTGATGTATAGCAGGAGGGAATGAACCTGGCTCTGTGCCCAGGAGAACCAGAGCATATGCCCAAGGCAGAGTATTTTCAAGGCCCCATACAGGGCAGGGATGAACTGTCCTTTTGATACCCCATCCTTTCTCTTGTATTTTCTTAAAATAAACACATGGAAGAGCAGATCAGGGAGCTCTGAAGGGGACAGAGAAGAATGGGTAGAAAGTAGCACCTGGTTTTCTGCATATGGCTAGACAGTTTTCCCAATACCATTTATTAAATAAAAAATCCTTTCCCCAGTACTTATTTTTGTCAGGTTTGTCAACGATCAGGTGGCTGTAGATGTGTGGCATTATTTCTGAGGCCTCTGTTCTGTTCCATTGATCTATATATCTGTTTCAGTACCAATACCATGCTGCTTTGGTTACTGTAGCTTAGTAGTATAGTGTGAACCATGGTAGCACGATGCCTCCAGCTTCGTTCTTTTTGCTTAGGATTTTCTTGGCTATATGGGCTTTTTTTTTCATTCCATATGACATTTAAAGTAGTTTTTTTCTAATTCTGTCAATGGTAGCTTGATGGGAATAGCATTGAATCTATAAATTACTTTGGGAAATGTGGCCATTTTCATTATATTGATTCTTCCTATCCATGTTTTTCCCTTTGTTTGTGTCCTCTCTTATTTCCTTGAGCAGTGGTTTGTAGTTCTCCTTGAAGAGGTCCTTCACATCCCTTGGAAGTTGTATTCCTGGGTATTTTATTTCCTTTGTAGCAACTGTGAATGGGAGTTCACTCATGATTTGGCTGTCTATTATTGGTGTATAGGAATGCTTGTAATTTTTGCAGATTGATTTTGTGTCTTGAGACTTTGCTGAAGTTGCTTATCAGCTTAAGGAGATTTTGGGCTGAGGTGATGGGGTTTCTAAATATATAGTCATGTCATCCGCAAACAGAGACAATTTGACATTCTCTCTTCGTATTTAAATACCTTTATATTGCCCTGGCCAGAACTTCCAATACTACATTGAATAGGAGTGGTGAGAGAGGGCATCCTTGTCTTGTGCCGGTTTTCAAAGGCAATGCTTCCAGCTTTTGCCCATTCAGTATGATATTGGCTGTGGGTCTGTCATAAACAGCTCTTATTATTTTGAGATACGTTCCATCAATACTATTTTATTGAGAGTTTTTAGCATGAAAGGATGTTGAATTTTATCACAGATCTTTTTTTTCTATTATCTATTGAGATAATCATGAGGTTTTGGTCATTGGTTCTGCTTGTGTGATAGACTGCGTTTATTGATTTGCGTATGTTGAACCAGTCTTGCATCCAAGGGATGCAGGCAACTTGATCATGGTGGACAAGCTTTTTGATGTGCTGCTGGATTTGGTTTGCCAGTATTTTATTGAGGATTTTCACATTGATGTTCATCAGGGATATTGGCATGAAATTTTCTTTTTTTGTTGTGTCTCTGCCAACAAGATTGAAAACCTGACTTAGTAGTATGCACCTGTAACAATAACTGAGTGTTGGCCAATCCCAGTACCCACATGTCAACCACTCATAGACTGCAGAGTGTTCAAACTGTGTCCAAATAAGGCAAATGCTGAGCTATAATCAACCCCTCTGTTTCTGTACCTCATTTCCAGTATCTGTATATCACATCCCTTTTTTGTTTAGAAATTTGTTCTGACCACGAGGCACCTCTGGAGTTGCTCCGAATCTGCTGTGATTCTAGAGGGTGTCCAGTTCACAAATCATTCATTTCTTTTTTTTCTCAATTAAACTCCATTAAATTAAAGAAGGAAAGAAAGAGAAAGAAATAAAGCAATAAAGCAAGCAAGCAAGCAAGCAAGAAAGAAGCACCTGTGAGACTTTCTGTTCTGCCCCCATTAGCCATGTGATTTCAGCACATTCTTCAACTTCTTTGGGTCTGAGTCTCTAATTTGTCATTTTGGGGGCAAGACTAGCTGACCCTTAAGGTCCCTTTTAGCATTTCTATGAGAGGATCCCGTGAGCCCGTGAACTGACATTTTAACAAATGACATCCAAAGAAACTCATGACAGAAAAAAATTTTAAGAGTGACTAGTTACTAAGGGAGGTTGAGGAACTTTATTTCCTGAAGCCTCCTTAAGAGTGAGCAGACCAGCTCTCCTCCTAGTCTCATTTAAGTGCAGTTTCGCCAGAGGGGAGAGGGCTGACCCTGCGGCTTCTGGATTCCGTGAACAGCTTCGTCATTCTGTAATTCCGCAAGCCCATCTTTTGTGGAGGGTTGAGGACCACAGCCTGGAATCTCAGCTGTGTCTCTTCCTTTGCAAAGTTGAATTAGGCCACAGGTGCTGGCAATATACACATAAGAGGACTGGCCCCAGTGCTCCAAAGACACAAATTTCACTCCAAGGACATTATTCAGGCCATGGAGATTCTCCTCCTTAGTGTGCTGTTTCCGGATGAGTGATTGGCCCTTGACAATGAAACTGATTCTACCACTTGTGTTGCATGTATTCTACCACTCATGTGGTATTCTATCACATATGTATTCCACCACAGTGAAACTGATCCTAGCATTTACGTTGCATGTATTGTACCACAGTGAAACTGATCCTAGCACTTACGTTGCATGTATTCTACCACAGTGAAACTGATTCTAGCACGTACGTTGCATGTATTCTACCACATATGTATTCTACCACAGTGAAACTGATCCTAGCACTTACGTTGCATGTATTGTACCACATATGTATTCTACCACAGTGAAGAACTGATTCTAGCACTTGTGTTGCATGTATTCTACCACATATGTATTCTACCACATATGTATTCTACCACAGTGAAACTGATTCTAGCACTTACGTTGCATGTATTCTACCACATATGTATTCTATCACATATGTATTCTACCACAGTGAAACTGATTCTAGCACGTACGTTGCATGTATTCTACCACATATGTATTCTACCACAGTGAAACTGATTCTAGCACTTGCGTTGCATGTATTCTACCACATATGTATTCTACCACATATGTATTCTACCACAGTGAAACTGATTCTAGCACTTACGTTGCATGTATTCTACCACATATGTATTCTATCACATATGTATTCTACCACAGTGAAACTGATTCTAGCACTTGCGTTGCATGTATTCTACCACATATGTATTCTACCACATATGTATTCTACCACAATGAAACTGATTCTAGCACTTACGTTGCATGTATTCTACCACATATGTATTCTACCACAACGAAACTGATCCTAGCACTTTGTTAATGTTACGATGCACATTTGGATCGTGTTTCTGTGCTGCTTGGCAGTTACTATGTAAATTATTTAACACCTTCTTAAAAACCGAGTATGGATCAAATATTAACAAATGAAGTCACTTTAATTATAATGGGTGATACGGTTTGAATATTTGTCCCCTCCAAACCTCATGTTGAAATGTGATCCCCAGTGTTGGAGGTGGGGCCTGATAGGAAGGGTTGTGTTCATGATGGTGAATCCCTCACGAATGGCTCGGTGTCCTTCCCACAGGAAAGAATGAGTTCTTGCTCTAATCGTTTTTGCAAGGGCTGGTTGTTGGATAAAACCTGGCACTTCCCTCTCCTCTCTCTTCCTTCTTCTCTCTCCCATGACACCTGCTCCTCCTTCACCCTCCACTGTGAGTGGAAGCTTTCTGAAGCCCTCACCAGAAGCAGATGCTGATGCCATGCTTCTCTTAGACATAATGAACTGTGAGCCAAATAAACCTCTTTTCTGGCCAGGTGTGGTGGCTCACGCCTGTAATCCCAGCACTTTTGGAGGCCAAGGCAAGTGGATCACGAGGTCAGGAGTTTGAGACCAGTCTGGCCAATATGGTGAAACTCCGTCTCTACTAAAAATACAAAAATTAGCAAGAATTGCTGGCACATGCCTGTAGCCCCAGCTACTCGGGAGGCTGAGGCAGGAGAATTGCTTAAACCTGGGAGGTGGAGGTTGCAGTCAGCCAAGATTGTGCCATTGCACTCCAGCCTGTGCAACAGAGAGACTCCATCTCAAAAATAAATAAATAAATAAACCTCCTTTCTCTATAAATCACCAGCCCTGTGTATTCCTTTATAGCAATACAAACAGACTAAGGCAACAGCTACATTTACTATTTTGAAAACTACTAGTACAAAAATAATTTTAGTGCAAAGGTCTTAACCTTTAGGTTTTACAAGATTGGATGTTGACATATATATTTTCTGTTAATCAACTCAAATACATATTTGAGCATCCAATGTTTTACATGATGAACTTTTTTTCCCTCTTAACACAGAAAATATTTGCCAACTAGAAAGGTGAACCAGCATACTTCAGAAGCTCAGGGGGGAAGTGCAGACAATACACATCTGAATTCCTTGCCCTCGTAAGTCAGTGTTCAGTCTCCACATATTGAGGCTACATCTCAGACCCGCTCTGTGGAGTGGCAGGGAGGAAGCTATGGTCCTGGGGCTCCAGTGATGGCATTTGGGAGGCAAGGGGGTAGTAAGTGCCACCAGAAAAGCAACTCTGGTCCACAGTTTCACTGTGAGGATGGAAAAGTCTACAGCGGGATTGTTTTGCAAATAACAGTAAATCTGTCATGTTCCTGAGGAATCTCAGCCCTCATTCTCTCTGAGTCCCCTGAGCACCCTGTCTGAGAGCATTATCTTTGTAAGTGAAAGGCCAGACCTTGCCAAGAGCTCAGTGTTCCTCCCTGCAAAGTGCACTAAAGCACCTCATAGCACTTTTCAAAACTCCGCTGTAGAGAACTCATCTGAGGGAACACCAGTTCAACATGCACAGTGGAGGATACCCATGCACGGGAGTATGCGCTCATCTTGCTAATATCATCCTTGGCCACCCAGACTTTGGGTGGCTGGGGACAGCTGGAAATGAGTTACTACAATCATGCTGGGTCACAGCGTGACTTTAGAAATTAATATTACTTTAGTTTATTCGAAGTAAAGTAGTTTCTAAAGTAATTAGTTTCCAATTACTTTAGGAACTAATATTGTTTTATGTCTACTAATAATGAAGCAGGTGCCAAAGTCTTCAAGTCTCTGAAGGAATCAACCTGTGTTTAAAACTAGAACCAGAAGGACCAGAACATGACTCAAAATGGAGCAGTAGTTTCCCAGAGGACAGTATGTATCCCCATCAGTGAAGAATTACTCAAAGCACAGGGTAATATCCTGCTTAGCTCACTCTAAGACAAATGAAAACGTTTTTGATATAAACATTTGATGTCAGTGGAGCGCAGTGGCTCATGCTTGCAATCCCAGCACTTTGGGAGGCTGAGATGAGTGGATCACCAGAGTTCAAGAGTTCAAGACCAGCCTGGCTAACATGGGGAAACCCTGTCTCTACTAAAAATACAAAAATTAGTCGGGCAGATGTGCCTGTAATTCCAGTACTTGGGAGGCAGAAGCAGGAGAATAGCTTGAACCTGGGAAGTGGAGGATGCAGTGAGCCTAGATGGTGCCATTGCACTCCAGCCTGGGTGACAGAGTGAGATTCCATCACAACAAAACAAAACGAAACATTTGGTATGACGGGGATGTGGAGTGGCAGACACTTGTTAACTGCTGGTGGAATGCAAAATGGAACAGGCACCTTGGAAGATGCTTGGCTCTTGCTTACAAAAGTAAACAGTCTTGCTTCAATCCAGCAGTCATACTCCTTGGCATTTACCCACACGAACTGAAAACGTGTGTTCACACAAACATCTGCACACAGATGTTTCCAGAAGCTTTATTCATAACTCATGAAACTTGGAAGCAACCGAGATGTCCTTCAGTAGGTGCTCAGATAAAGAAACTGGCATGTCTAGGCAACGAACTATTATCCAATAATAAAGAGAAATGAGCTACCAATCCATGAAAAGCCGTGGCAGAAGCTTAAATGCTTGTAACTAAGTGAAAGAAGTCAGCCTGAAAAGGCCACAGACTGCATGGTTTCAACTCTATGCCATCCTGGAAAAGGCGCAACTAAGGAGATAGTAAAATGGTCAGTGGTTACCAGGGGTTTGGCTGGGAGGAGAAAAGGAGAGACGAATAGGTGGAGCACAGAGGACTTTCAGGGCGGCTAGACCACTCTGTATGATACTATGATGGTAGGTGCCTGTCTTTATGCATGTATCAAAACCCACACAATATGTCCAGGCACAGAGTGAAGCTGAATGTAATCTGTGGACTTTAGTTAATAATAATGTGTCACCACTGTCTCATCAGGAGTAACAAATGTAGCAGCAAAGCAAGGTGTTAGCAATAGAGGAAACAGTGGGGAAGGGTGCTGAGGGATATACGGGAACTCTGCACTTTTTGCTAAATGTTTCTGTAAACCTAAAACTGCTCCAACGATAGTCTATCAATTTAAAAATATTTTAAAAGCTTATCTAAGAAGTCATTGTGGGAAGAAATAAGATCATTGGTGAATTTATTTATACTTGTTCTCTTTTTTTTTTCTATTTTATGATTTAATTTCTCCTGGAGGGCAGGTAGGGGCACCATGCTTGTATTTCCATGCCAAGGGCCTCCAAAGATTGACAAACACATCTGTCTCCATTACAGGAGAAACCAAATGGGCTTTCTTCACACATGATAACATTGTAGTGTATCCCAAGTCCTCTAGCAAGGGCTTTTCACAAGTCTGATAGGTTATTACCAGAATATAATAATGGCAGAATTCATTTCTCCCTCTGAGTAATGAAAGCCCCGGATCTCCAGCAACCCCAAAGATCTCGGGTGGAGGAGGTTAGGGCAAAGGTCATCTGGGAATTTGTCCTGATCCATGAGGGCACCGTTCTAACCCCAGGCTGTAGGCTCCCAGCAGGGGTTAGAGGAGGGATCAGCGTAGAACTGGTTTTGTTATGTCTTTGGGCTGAGGGTACGAGGGCCTGTTCAGTCATTCCAAGTGTCCTGCCTCTCTTGGGAGAACGTATTTTTTTCCACATGAAAAATAGGTTAATGTGAATCTCGATAGCCGCCCCCAGAGTGCAGTCCCCT